CGCTCAACACTCAGCAAAAAGCATTCCCACCATATCTTGCAAAGGGAAACTCTGCCAGTAAACATCACTGATGGTGTGCTAATGGGTGCAAACAGGTCTTTAGAGAGTAGCCCACAGCAAAAAATGTTTGTTCAAAACTATTTTTATTCGAATATATTGTGAATGGAAAAGTCAGGACAGTGGTAAAGTGCTCGTTCCTATTTGTTTTAAAGGTGCTCAGATTATGCTGTTATTAGGCGACTTTTTGTTTTTAGCCTTTGGGAAGGTGCCGCGCTCTCCGTCTGCCGGAGGCGAAGAAGCGGCTTCTTTGCGCACAACATTTTGCTGAGCGCAGGAAGTTCCTGAGAGCGGTTTGTGCAGAAAGATGCCCCAGACCGGCACTTAGCTTCCGTGAGCTGCGTATCTCGGTCTTCTTCGGATCTTTTCGTTCAACACTCAGAAAAAAGCTTTCCCACCATATCTTGCAAAGAGAAACTCTGCCAGTATATAAAACATCCATTCAAAATCATTTCTAAACTTGCACGAGGTCTGCAAAGAGTTTTGCAAGAAGGAAAACTAGTTGTCCAAAACTCGTTCTTTTCGAATATAATATCAGTGGAAAAGGCAGGAGAGTGGTAAAATACTGTTTTCTCTAAGTCTGGATGCTGCCCACACTGTGCCTGTTTGGTGCAGCTTACATCTCCGCTTTCGGGAAGATGCCGTTCTCTCCGTCTCCCGGAGGCGAAGAAGCGGCTTCTTCGCACACACAACATTGGGTCGGTTGCGGTGAGCACCTAAGAGCGGTTTTTGCCGAAAGAAGCCGTGGACCGGCACTTAGAATCGGAGAGCTGCCTATCTGCGTCTTCTGCGTGTCTTGCCGCTCAACACTCAGCAAAAAGCTTTCCCACCATATCTTGCAAAGAGAAACTCTGCCAGTATATAAAACATTCAAAATCATTTTCTAAACTTGCACGGAGGTCTGCAAAGAGTTTTGCAAGAAGGAAAGCTAGTTGTCCAAAACTCGTTCTTTTCGAATATAATATCAGGGGAAAAGGCAGGAGAGTGGTAAAATACTGTTTTCTCTAAGTCTGGATGCTGCCCACACTGTTCCTGTGTGGTGCGGCTTGCATCTTCGCCTTTGGGAAGATGCCGTTCTCTCCGTCTGCGGGAGGCGAAGAATCGGTTTCTTTGCGCACAGAGCATTGTGCCGAGCGCAGGGAGCACCTAAGAGCGGTTTTTGCCGAAAGAAGCCGTGGACCGGCACTTAGAATCGGAGAGCTTCCTATCTGCGTCTTCTGCGTGTATTGCCGCTCAACACTCAGCAAAAAGCATTCCCACCATATCTTGCAAAGGGAAACTCTGCCAGTAAACATCACTGATGGTGTGCTAATGGGTGCAAACAGGTCTTTAGAGAGTAGCCCACAGCAAAAAATGTTTGTTCAAAACTATTTTTATTCGAATGTATTGTGAATGGAAAAGTCAGGAGAGTGGTAAAGTGCTCGTTCCTATTTGTTTTAAAGGTGCTCAGATTATGCTGTTATTAGGCGACTTTTTGTTTTTAGCCTTTGGGAAGGTGCCGCGCTCTCCGTCTGCCGGAGGCGAAGAAGCGGCTTCTTTGCGCACAACATTTTGCTGAGCGCAGGAAGTTCCTGAGAGCGGTTTGTGCAGAAAGATGCCCCAGACCGGCACTTAGCTTCCGTGAGCTGCGTATCTCGGTCTTCTTCAGATCTTTTCGTTCAACACTCAGAAAAAAGCTTTCCCACCATATCTTGCAAAGAGAAACTCTGCCAGTATATAAAACATCCAAAATCATTTTCTAAACTTGCACGGAGGTCTGTAAAGAGTTTTGCAATACGGAAAAGATAGTTGTCCAAAACTCGTTCTTTTCGAATATAATAACAATGGAAAAGGCAAGACAGTAGTAAAGTACTGTTTTCTCTAAGTCTGGATGCTGCCCACACTGTGCCTGTTTGGTGCGGCTTGCATCTTCGCCTTTGAGCAGATGCCGTTTTCTCCGTCTCACGGAGGCGAAGAATCGGCTTCTTTGCGCAAAGAGCATTGTTTGGGTCGCGGTGCATTTCGGAGAGCGGCTTGTGCCGAAAGATGCGCGGGACCGGCACTTTGCTTCGGAGAGTTCCGTATCTACGTCTTCTGCGTCTCTTGTCGCTAAACACTTAGTAAAAAGCTTTTCCATATCTTGCCAGGAGAAATTTCCATATCTTGCCAGGAGAAATTATCACCATATCTTGCAGGGAGAAATTGTGCCAGTACACAAAACATCCCGCATCTTTCTCGAAAAGATGCACATAGGTATTCGAACTGTTTAACTAGAAGGAAAAGATAGTTGTCGAAAACTCATTTTATTCGATTATATTGTGAATGGAAAAGTCAGGAGAGTGGTAAAGTAGTCTTTTCTATTTGTTTGAAAGGTGCTCAGGTTATGCTGGTATTGGGCGGCTTGGTTCTTAGCCTTTTGGAAGCTGCCCTTGTCTCCGTCTCCTGGAGGCGAAGAAGAGGCTTCTTCAATGCACAGAGCATTGTGCCGGGCGCAGGGAGCTTTGGAGAGCGGTTTGTGCCGAAAGCTGCCCAGGACCGGCATTTTGCTTCGGAGAGCTCCGTATCTCTGTCTTCTGCTTGTCTTTTCGCTCAACACGCAGCAAAAATCTTTTCCACCCTGTCTTGCAAGGAGAAACTCTGCCAGTACTCAAAACATCCCCGATCTTCTTCTAAAAGTTGTACAGAGGACTGCAGAGTGTTTATCAGGAAGAAAAACATAGTGTCCCAAAACTCCTTTTATTCGAATATAATGTGAATGAAAGGGCAGGAGAATGCTAAAATACTCGTTTCTATCAATTTGAAAGCTGCACACGCTATATCCGTGTGCTGCGTCTTGCATCTTCGCCTTTGGGAAACTGCCTCTCTCCGTCTTCCGCAGGCGAAGAAGCCGCTTCTTCGCGCACAGAGCATTGTGCCGGTGGCGGTGTTCTCCGGAGAGCGGCTTCTGACGAAAGACGCCCTGGCAGGGGGCTTAGTTTCGGAGAAGAAACTAAGAAAGGGGGCTTATTTGGTTCTTGTTTGGTAAGAGGCAGGTTTTTGGCATTTATTTTTCGAGGAGTTTTTGGGGGGGATGGCCCCTGTTCTTTTTTGCCGCCTTGGCCGCCCGCAGGCGCAAGGCGCGCGGCGCCCCCGGCTGGGGTGGGCGGCAGTGCTGCCGCCTTGTGGGCAGAGCGCGGTACTGCAGCCCGGCGCCGCCGCCAGGCAGCCCTCTTGGGCGTGGCGCGTGGCGGAGTTTGTTTGACCTTCTGAAAATGGCGGCGAAAAGGGCGGGAAAGCGGAGGACCCTGGTGTGTCTATGCGGACTGCCTGCACGGAACACCGACGCCGGCGCAGCCCCGGCGGGATTTTTGTGGCGTTTTAGGTGTACCCGACACGGGCTGTGGGGTCAGCGGCGCCGCGGGCGGGCGTATTTTGGCGTGTTTCTGACCGGCATGTGAGTAACCGCCTCTCTCGCCCGAGGGGGTCCTCTCTCGGCCGCCATGTTGGGAGTGGCGCGTCACCACTGTCGCGGGAGTTTGTTTGACCTTCTGAAAATGGCGGCGAAAAGGGCGGGAAAGCGGAGGACCCCGGTGTGTCTATGCGGACTGCCTGCACGGAACACCGACGCCGGCGCAGCCCCGGCGGGATTTTTGTGGCGTTTTAGGTGTACCCGACACGGGCTGTGTGGTCAGCGGCGCCGCAGGCGGGCGTATTTTGGCGTGTTTCTGACCGGCATGTGAGTAACCGCCTCTCTCGCCCGAGGGGGGGGGGGGGGGGGGGGGGTCCTCTCTTGGCCGCCATGTTGGGAGTGGCGCGTCACCAATGTCGCGGGAGTTTCTTTGACCTTCTGAAAATGGCGGCGAAAAGGGCGGGAAAGCGGAGGACCCCGGTGTGTCTATGCGGACTGCCTGCACGGAACACCGACGCCGGCGCAGCCCCGGCGGGATTTTTGTGGGGTTTTTAGGTGTACCCGACACGGGCTGTGTGGTCAGCGGCGCCGCAGGCGGGCGTATTTTGGCGTGTTTCTGACCGGCATGTGAGTAACCGCCTCTCTCGCCCGAGGGGGGGGGGGGGGGGGGGGGGTCCTCTCTTGGCCGCCATGTTGGGAGTGGCGCGTCACCAATGTCGCGGGAGTTTCTTTGACCTTCTGAAAATGGCGGCCAAAAGGGCGGGGATATCGCGGACCCGGGAGTCTGCCGCCCTGTGGCCAGAGCCCGGTACTGCAGCCCCCCGAGCCAGCGCCCTGCCCCTCGCCGCTGGCTGCCGGGGGCGGGGCAAGGGCGCGGCTGCCGAGCGAGGCAAGGGCGAGGGGCGGGAGCGAGGGGCGGGGCGGGAACGAGGGGCGGGCGGGGCGGGAGCGAGGGGCGGGCGGGGAGCGAGGGGCGGGCGGGGAGCGAGGGGCGGGCGGGGCGGGCTCGGTAAATGGCCGGGAGGGGTGAAAGACGTTCAGGAGTGCAAAAGGGACACGATGGCTGAGAAGAATGGCCGGGGGGGGGGGGCGCGGCCCGGCGGGGCCGCTTTCGGCGGGCGGCGGAGGCGCGGTCGCAGCGCTCCGCGGGCCGGGGGCAGCGAGCGGGGGCGGGCGAACGCCGTCGGAACGGGAACGGGGCTGCACCCCCCCCCGAGCCCGCGCACGCGCCTCTCGCGCGGCGGAAGCGACGGCGGGCCGGAAAATCCCGGCGGGGCGGCGGCGCTGCCCGCCCTTTCTGCCGCCAGCTTTGCAAGGTAAGACCGCCCGCCCCGTCCCGCCCCGCCCCGTTCCGCCGCCCTCCGGTGTCTGTAAACAGACGGACTCCCTCTGGCTTCCCACTTCTCCGTGCTGGAGAGTGGGAGAAAGGTCCGTGCTGTTTGCCGTGTCCTCGGTGGGCAGAGAGCTCTGACCTTGCCTTGCATGGGCTGCTGAGGATTGGATCCTTGGGGATGTGCTTGGATGCATTTAGTGACCTTTACAGATTTCTTTCCCCGCTTTTTTCAGTTCCCAGAATCATGGAAGAATTCAGGTTGCAAGGGGCTCTAAAGATCACCTCATTCCAAGGCTGCTGCCGCCGTGGGCAGGGACGTGCTTCCATAGAGCAGCTTGCTCAGAGCCTCATCGCAGAGCACCGACGGGCCTTGAGCACTTGCAGCGATGGGGCAGCCCCAGGACCTCTGAGCAACCTGTGCCCTGTGCCAGCCGGGTGCCAGAGGAGGAAGGAAGCCCTTCCCACCTGGAGCAGAGGCTGCGTAGCCTTGTGTCACCGAGCGTGTGAGACAGAAAGGCCCTTCCTTTCTGGAGGGGTAACAACACTCAAAGCTCTTTCTCGGGACAAGCCGAGCAATGGAAGGCCAAAGTAGCCTTCAGTTCTTCCAGCAGCTTTGGGAACAACTTGAAGGAGGAGCAGAGCTGGCCTGGTGCCTGCCGGCTCTGCAGGCAGTGGGCATGGCGAAGCTGCAGCTGCATCTGTCTTCTTGGCTGAGGCTTTATAAATGAGGCGCTTTTCTGTAGTTCCTTTTCAGGCATGACGTGCAAGTTGCCCCTAGAAGTCCAAAGGCAGCTGTTTTCTTAGCAGAAGGAAGTCAGGAGGAGGCAAAGCCAGCAGCTAAGTCTGGATAAAAAACTTGGCTAACCTCTTTTCCCCCCCTCCTCCAAACAGGCAATTGTGAAGCACTCAGCAGAGATCTGCCCGGGAGGAAAAGCAGAGCCAATCTCTGAGAAGAAGGGACGTGCGAGCTCTGGCGAGGACGGCTGCTCCCCCTGGCCTTGGTGTGGGACCTCCTGAGCTGCCATTCCTGTGGTGGGAGTGTTCCTCCTCTCCTCCGGCCAAGCCAGAGACCGCCTAGGGAAGGAGCAGGTAAGGTTGAAGTACCGAGGTCTCCCAGGTAAGAAGTGACACGGCCAAAGGAAATGGCCTCAACTTGCAGCAGGGAAGGCTTAGATTGGATTGGAGGGAAAATTTCTTCACTGAAAGGGTGCTCAGGCATAGGAGCCCAGGGAAGTCCCCATGCCTGGAGACATGTCAAGGATGTCAAGATGTGGTGTTTAGGGACCTGATTTGGGGGGGCAGCAGCTGGGCTCGATGTCCTTAGAAGGCTTTTCCAACCGCAAGGATCCTACGGATCCTATGGTTCTGGAAAGCCTTGACCCCTCTGGCTCTAGCACAGCACCTGGATGCTGACAAAATGAGGCTGGTCCTAGAGCCTGGAGGTCCCTGTGCCACAGGGAGAGGACAAGCCGGTGTCACCTGCAGGGAGGGTCTCGTCCCCAGAGAGCCGTCAGTGACTCCGTCCCTGCCCGGGGCTCTGGGTGCGCCCTCGGGGGGCGGGGGACGACACCTGCCCTCGGGTGTCCCTCTGGGCACCTGGGAAGGGAACCAGGTCCATCCGTGCGGCAGCTGCAGGGCTTGCAGGCTTTGGGGCTTTGCAGCTGTGTGCCTTGTCACAAGGTGGCAGGGACGTGACACTGCCTGGCAACGCTGCTGGCCTCGGATCCTTGCTGCTCTCATCCTTATCCCATATGGATTTAGCAGCAATCTTCTGTCTTTGCTTTCAAACTGTCCTTGGGAGAGTTCCAAGAGAGGGTCATTAGTTATTTCAAAGCCTACATCTTTTACCTCTTGGCACTGAAGAGAAAAGACACAAACCTGCTTTGCATCCTTCTGCCTGGAAGTCATTGTGACACGGGGAAGGGAGGAAGGGGCTGGCCGGGGTCAGCCTCTGCTGAGCCTCAGCTCTGGCTGCTCCTGCTCACAGGGTAAAGCCAAAAGCTGTCGTGATCAAAAACGCAGGCCGCCCTTCTGACCTGAGTCACAGGGGCCGTTTCTTCTGAATGAATCAAGGTGGGAAATCATTCTTGGAGCTTCAGAAGAAAAAAAACCCCAGAACCGTAGGTACGTTTGTAAGAGTGTGTATGTACGTACATTTCCTTCGATGAAGAAGAAAATCTTAGAAATATCATGTCACGTCTGGCTTCCTAGAGAAGATCCTGAACTCTGGGCTTCTGAAAGCAAATGGCTGTGCATTTATAGGAGCGTTTCCCTTCTTTTTATGTGCCTCCCCCAGTCATCTTCTACCCTTGCCCACGGCAAGGAGAGCGCGGTGATTTGGCTGCTCCGCTCTGCCGAGGTTGTTGCAGGCTGTGTAGCAGGGAGCGAGGCCTTTTGTGGCTGCTCATCAGACATTTTCCTACAGCCTTCTCCCTGCAATGGTAAAATGAGACTTGTGTTAGCGAGCAGTCAAGTAGAGCAGGTAACATTAGAAAAGAATTGTTTCTGAGCTGCTGTTCACTAGCACGTGTTTCCCCTTTCCGGCAGAGCGCGCATCATTGCGGGCTTGGGATCGATTGAAATGCGCTAAGGAAACCAGCTCTGGGGAGGGAGGGAGGGAGGGAGGGAGGGAGGGAGGGAGGGAGGGAGGGAAATGCTCTCTTAACATGTGCCAATTCTTCTGTCAAACTCATCAGGGCAGGACAGCGTTCAGACTGAAAGTGTAAGAAGATGTGGAGGGAGACAGAGAATCTGACAGGAGCACCGGACTCACAAGTGCACGAATTTTGCTTTTGGCTTGGATTCAAACGCAGAAGTTGTAAGGAATTTGGGAAGGAGAAGGGACATTTCAGAAGGAGAAGAAGAAAAAGAAGTTGTTGTTGTTGTTACAGCCCTGGCAAAATCTTTGGTTCTAGCTAATAAAGGAAGCTAGTTGAAATAAAAAAAAAGAAAAAAACGTGGGTTTTTTTTTTTTCCTTCGCTGTTGTATTTGTTGGTGGTTCGTTATATGGTGTGTTGTTTTATTTCTTGGTCTTATTACCTCTGTGTAAATAGTTTTTTTGAGTGAAGCTAACTTTCTGGACGGGTTGGTTTCTATTTGAGGTAGGATAAATTTCAAGAGGTTTCTTTCCTAGACTTCTGATAGGTATTCCTGGGATTTTGGTTTTGTTTACTGTGTGTATCAACAGAGAGATTTGGTAGGGCCAGCTGGGCTGCTGGAGTTTTGGGTGTTAATTTATGAGATGGCTTTTGTTCAATGCAGTTTTGAATTGTTGAAAGGGTTTTTAATGTAGTGGTTTTAAGGCGGTCTTTAAGAATTGTTTGTATCGTTTCACGTTGTTTGTAGTTGGTGTACGATCAGGGATATGGTGGAACTTCTTGAACGTTCTGGTTTTAGCGTTCCTAAGTTCCGATTTCTTTCTGCTTTGCTGTTTTGTTTCTGGTTTTCTTTTGGGGGACAGGGGCATTTGTTGACGGTGGGTTTCTAGAGGCAATGTGTCTTTCAATTTGGGTAGCGATATTTTTTAGTATTTTAATAGTTTCGATTTTTTTTATTTTCATGCTTTTAATGAGTTGTTTTAAAATTTGGAAGATAACCTTTCTAGATGATTGGTTATTATTTGTGAGTTAGCCTCAAGGTAGAGCTTTGGGGGCTTTTTTTAGTAATGTTTAGGGTCAGTTGTAGGGTTTTGAGTTTAGTGAGTTGGTTGGATTTAATTTTTCACGGGTGTTTGTTTTGACTAGCAGTTCTGTCATTTTCCATGTGTATCTGAGTTTTTTGGGGTTTTGAGCCATTGGTTGAGGAGGAAGTTTATGATGAGAATGTACGGAGCTTTTGGGCTAGTTATAGTGGGATTTCAAATGTCTTGACAGTTCGGTTGATTTGAGTTTTTCTTAGGGTTAAATGTTGTGGGGTCTTTGTTCTGTTAGTCCTAGAAATAGGTTTGGTTTGGATACGCTGCGATGGGATGAGCGTGGGCTGCGTACCGGTGCTGCCGAAGGCGCGGTATTTGTGTGGTTCTGATGCGTTGGGTTAATGAATTGATACGGTCTAATATATAGATTAATTAAAGTAGAAATAAATATCAATATAAAAACAAATATAAAATGATAGTGGTAAACATAAATATAGAAAACAAATAGATAAACACATAAAACTATACTATATAGTATATTATTGTAACAGATGCTAATCTATAGAAACGATAGTCTATTATATATGTATACAAAGATATCTAAAGATCGGTTGTAAATATAAAAATATTTAGATAGAGTTAAAAGGAATTGGGGATTCTTTGGGATTTTTTTATTAGGTTATAGGCTGGGGTTTTTTTTCTAGATAGAAATAATATAAAAATAAAAATCCAGATCTCCAAATATATAACGCGTATACCGATCTCTCTAAATATTTAATATAAAGAAATAGAAGTAAAAGAATATCTAGGATATAAAAATACTATATATCTATTATTCTATTAAAAGGTATTCTCTCTAGTATGTATAATACCTACAAATGTAATAAATAAAAATTATAAAAGTAAATGTGAAGAGAATGATGAAAAATGAGACGATTTTTAGAGTTTTAAATATGGTTTAGATAAAGGGGTGTCTTTGGTTTTTGTTTGGTTAGAGGCAGGGGTTTTATTTGAAAGAATAGAAGTATTATAGAAATGTGAATCTTAAGATAGAAATCTATCATAAGTCTAGAAAGAGAAATGACGAAACTATGGATAGAAATTGAAATCTAAATCTATGTCAGTAATATGAAGAGTTGTAGTATAGAATAGAAATGACCTTATGTGGCAAGATAAATGAGAAATGGGAATAGAAATAGAAGAAGATGTAAATATAGTTGGAAAGAAAGGGAATTTTTTGGCTTTTGTTTGAGTAGAGGCAGGGGTTTTATTTGAAATAATACAAGTGTTCCAGAAGTGAAAATCTGAAGGCAGAAATAGATAATCAATGAATCAAAATACGTATAAAAATATAGAAATAAGTCCTCGGAATAGATGGAATATAGAATATCAATTGATTTATAAATTGACATTGATAAAGAGAAATGGATCAGTAAGCAATACACATTATAAATAGAAATGTGACTATCAATAGGAAAACCTAGGGGTAAAATCTATTCAAATATTGTCTAAAAGAAAGGGTTGGGGTTTTTTGGGCTCTTCTTGGGTTAGAGGCAGGGTTTTTATTTGAAATAATATGAATATAGATATTACTCTTACCTGTTTCTAAATATTGAGATAGATAATCAAGATATAAATATAAAACCTAAGGAAATAGAAATAATAGGAAGGGATGTAATATAGAATACAAATAAGAGTATACATTGATATACAGTTTAAATGTAAATCTGAACATGAACCTGAAAGATACAGTTTTAAAAAAGATTGAAATAGAGTTGAAAAGAAAGGGGTTCTTTTTGGCTTGAATTTGGGTAGAGGCAGGGGTTTTATTTTAAATAATGGAAGAGTTACAGAAGTAAAAATCCTAACACAGAAATATAGATGAAATATAGAAAGATAGGAATAAAAAGATGTCAATAAATAGAAGAAATAGGAACAGATGTAAAATAGAATATAAACTTATAAAAAATCGGAAATTATAAATGTAAAAATCAACATTACACATCAATATACATTTGAAATATAAATGTGGATATAAAGATGAAAAAAAATAATTTTTTTACAAATTTAAATGCAGTCGAAATTAAAGGGGGTTCTTTTTGGCTTTTATCCGGGTAGGGGCAGGGGAATTATTTTAAATAATGTAAACGTTACAGAAGCAAAAATCCTAACAAATATATACTTACTATGTAAAAATATGTATAAAAATAGAGAAATAAATTTAAGTACTAGGGAGAGATGTAATATAGAATAGAAATTTATTTATAAATAGAAATGTATAAATATACATCAATACGCATTATAAATAGAAAGGTGAACATTAATATGAAAAACTATTTTAAAAAATATTTACATATTTTTTAAAAGAAATTGTTGGGTTTGGGTTTGGTTTGGTGGTTTTTTTTTTTTGTTTTTTTTTTTATCCTATTAGGTTAGAGGCAGGAGGATTTTTTT